AGAAATGATATTGTCAAGGTGACCGGCAGCTTGATCAGGAAGTAAAGGAGAACGCCACCCTCGAATAAACCGGCTGCACTCGATTAAGCGCCGCCGCAGAGAGAAACAAAATTACCAACGAAGATAGCCTTCGTAGCTAGCGGTAATAAACGCCACTCGATCAAACGTAGCATGCTTTGCAACCGGCCCACGCACTCGTCTAAACCATTTGTATGGTCCTCCATACAGAAGCTTTAGAGCGTCTGCTACGGAGGCAAGATTAAACGCTGCATTCTAGTTTAGAAAAATGCGGCCTTTATTAGGGGATAAGAAGAAAAATCTAGACAACTACGATTCTATCTTATCAAAAAAGGAGACATTTTAACATCTCAAGTTCTGTTTTACATATAATAGAGAGATTAAGAGTCCCGCTTACGCAACTCGCGGCAAACGTAAATTTGTACCACGTGACCAAGTTTTCCCCTTAATTGTCGTTTACTATTTTTTACTTCTACTTGCCAGTTTTATCCATAAGAATGGTTCTGCACAGTTTTTATCTGCTTATTTTCTATTCTGAGAAATTCTCAGTATGAATCTGACGTATTTCGTTTGTGGTAAACGTAACAGCTCTTAATCTCTCTAATATTTACCCTGAGTGATGAAATAAACGCTGCCTTCGAATAAACGCCCGATCGTAAGCGTTGAAAATTTTAGAATGAATAAGGTACGGTACGAAGCCAAACTCACTAAAGAATGAGATATGTTCAGATTGCGGGTTGTAGCAAAAGCCATGTGCTTCATGGGATGATAATAAAGATAAATCAGACTGATTACACAGACAAACCACTTTCGCTCAGTGACTATCGGGTAAAATTACTCGAAGACATTAACTATAGCTATTAATATTAGAAGAATTCGCGTGTGGCACATAAAGACAACATGTCGTCGTTTAATTTGTATTTCACTGAATTATATCTGTACTCTGATTCAAACTTTAAATAGAGGATATTACACGGCGGCGCGAAGATATGAATTTTATTTTCGAGTGGCAAAACAATATTTTACGAACGAGCGCAGAGAGTGAGTAAAATACTGTTTTTTGCCACGAGAAAATAAAATTCATATCTTCAAGCCGCCGTGTAATGTTCTTTTTATTATACAGACAAAAAGACATCGATAAAATAATAGAGGGAAATTACCGAAATTACGTCAGCGATAAACTCACGTGTGAGATTATGGAAAATAAACCACTCGGGTTCCGGATGTAGTTTTTATGAATTTTACGAGTGGTATATTTTCCAGTAAAACACTCGTGTCTATATAATAATTAAAATTAAAACATGCCACCATTTAATTTTACGGTTGTTTGCTTATTCGCTGCTCATCCCCTACTGTCAATGGACAGGTATTTTTGTAGAGTTTGTTTTAACTTGTCAAAATGGTTTCTAATCATTTTGTATCGACAGAAATTCTTGGAGCCCGAGAGAATGTGGTGCCAAAATTTGTGTTCCTTCGCAGTAAGTTCTGCAGTTGTATTTCCTACTGATTGGAACCACGGAATGAAGAAATAAATGGATATAAGGAGATCATCGCAGTTAAAGACGCAACTTCAGGCTTGCCTGGATTCAAACTCGGCTGATCTCTTCGATACTGTTGTAACACTGAAACCTTTAGGGATTTCCCTTTCCCGGGGCCCCTGACTGACTTGCATGCACGCCCCGAAAACGGGCGACCATGTACGTTGTGTGTTGGACTTGCTGAGCGGACTTCAGTAGTTGTTGAACATGTTAGAATACTCACGTCTCAGGTTGTTCGGTTTTAGCCCGGGTTTTTTCTCTCCAACCCTGGGAAGGGGTTGGCTGCAGGAAAGAGGTTAGCTGATTAGATCCCATCATCGGCCAAAACCCCCTTCGGCACCTTATGAAGTTTACACAACCTAGTGTTCCTTATCGCTTCGGTTTAGGGTTAAGCAACAATACTGATTAGGGTTAAGCACTGATAATAGTGATTGGGGTTAAGCACTTACTCTCAAAAGTTAGCTTGTATTTATGGTTAGGGTTGTTGCTATATAGCTTCAAATCAATCCAATACCCGTCAGCAAATCCTCAGTGGCGTAGTGATGTAGGTGATGGACTGCAAACACCACGCTCCAGGTTCGATTCTTACTTTGGCTCTTCTGATTTTTTTCCCTTAAAAATTGAAGAGACTTACACTTTCATGAACATTTCCTGAGCAGAAATGTCAAGAAACTTAGAAATTTCATCTAATGTAGTAAAATCATAAAATTTCATCTTCTGTAGTGTAAAAACGGTAAAGATACTCCGTTATGTAAAATTCATAAGGTGACAAAGGGATTTTTACCCGCGAGTGGGCTCACTTCTGCGAGTTCGGTTAACGTTTTCGGCGGCGGAGCTGCCATCTCACAAGGGCGGATTCGCACATCAGGTGAGCCTGATCGCAGGCTAAAGGGGTTTAGGCCGATGGGATCTTATCCTCTGACCCAGGATAGAAGACCCTTCTTCTTTCCTGTTGCGGGAGGCGACGACCCTGGGGACGAGGTTGCCTTAAAGTAAGTTCCCGCCGCTGACCCACCATGCGCGCGCTGTATCATTGCGCGCGGAAATTTCACAGCTGCTCTGACTAATGGTTGTTTTAACAAGGGATTCATAAACGCTTTATACAAGTGATAGTCACTTTGTTTAAGGGTTTTGGTTTTTCCATGGCTATGACTAAAGATAATCTCGTCAAAAACGCCGCTTTGCGGCTGCACGAAAATGTTGGCTAGCCTACTTAACAGCACACTGCCGCAATAAGACGTCAGTTGAACGTCAAGGTCATCCACAACGTAATAGAACTTTATTGTAATGTTGACAACGTTACACAGCTTACATCTATGTAATAAACTGTCTAATGAATAGAATTATACCAAAACAAATCTAAAGATGTATAAAATTTCTTTAATAACCAACAAAGACATTATAATTATTCTCTCGTGGAACAATTTAACTAGAAAAATCTTCCATGCATGTCTTCATTACTACTGATAAGATATTGTAACAATAAATGCCGTTTTAAAGCTACCTCTATTGAAGTTAGATTTACCCTTTCAAGTTACTAGTTGGTAGTTTTACAGACGCTTTGCTGTACTGTAAAAGATCAACTTCCTTCGCGTTTTCACGTTAGCACGGATGTGTTAAGTTCACGGTTCATGTAAGCTGCGTCTGCTAATTTTGCTGGCGTTCGTTTTAAAACGTGTTTGACACTGCGCTGGACATCGCAGTTACAACTTCGATTTGATGCACATTTACTTTAGATTTAATGCAAATTTACAAGTTACAGCTTCGATTTGATGCACATTTGCTTTAGTTTTTCAGTTTTGAGATCCTATAAGGATCATGTTTGAAAAAGTCTTTAAATATATCCATTAATAATAGAACCAAAATTTGGCACCGAATTTGTTACGTCATTTTTCCTGTATTAAAGTGTCCAGATCTGATAACATTTCAAGAAAATAAAATCTGGGTAAATTCATAAAAAAAAATTAGGGAAAAAGGCTTAGCCTGCGTAGCTGGGGGAATTGATATTTAGCCTGCGTTGCAGCCGGCACACCCATCGTCTAGACTATTATAAAGTTTAGAGTGTCGTCTGCGGCGCAGACCATTAAGTTTATGAGCGTGAGAGTTTTTGCGGCGAAGGCGCGAAGACAATTCAAAGCCTCTTCTCCCCATTTTCCGCACTGCTTCACAACTCCTCTGCAAATCATTCTGCAAACAACATTTGGTGTGGAACGCCCGTGCACTTGGTCACTTGTAGGACTGCTTGCGCATGCCATCGCTCATAGCGCACACCTTATATTCCCTTTTGATACTCATATATTATGCTGATATCTTTATGTATTTACGGCTTTTTAAAGAAGATTTCTTTTCTCTTTTAACTTCCTGGGGCGGCACCTCGAATGGGCCCTTTGGTCCCGTACGTGCTTGCCCGTTTGGGTATCAATGTCTTTTTTTTTATCTTTTATCTTTCCTTTGTAAACGTTTTAATGTAATTCTGTATACGGAAACCCAATAAAGATGTTAAAAGAAGAAAAAAAGCCTCGCTCGCGCCAACGATCCCGCCGTCTACGCAGGCGATAAAACGCTAAATGAAATGTGAATTTCTCGCCCTTAGTTCTGCTACTAAAAATATCTTTAGGGATTACCAGGTAGAGCGGTTTTCACTTGACTGTCGTAAAACCAAAACCAAAGTAAATACACTAGCCAACCAAAGGGCGTAGTAAAACCAAAACCAAACCAATTCCTCGATTACTTTAATTTCGACAGTCAAGTGAAAACCGCTATAAGGAGCACGAGCTAGTTGGATACTTCCTAGCCTGTGTCGGCCACTCCCTTCCCTCCCTGATTTTGTGAGGGGAGGCGGGCTGTACATAAATCTTGTTAAAGAATTCATACATTTAGGTAGCCTGCGCCAGTCTCTCGGTTACTGAAAACGAGCCAAAAAAGCGGGCGAACGAAAATGGGTGGGAGGAGAGAAGGCACCCGTCTCTCCCCAGTCCTCAACGCAGTTTTCGCGCACGATCAGGTTTTCCCAGTATCTTGGAGCCTGGAACCGGCTAACATGTAGGCAAGCTGCCTCTCTAAGAAATTAGGGGTCATCGGGATCCACTTTGGAAAAATAAGAAAGTTGTGATGGAATTTGAAAGTTTAGTCTCTCTATCTATCTGATGAGTATTTTTGGAGCTTGTTGAAGTCAGTTTTATTGAAAACGTAGGGTGGTTAGTTCTTGAAGATTTGTTGGTTAGAAGTTCCGATAAATAAAGTTTGCATTTTCCATAATGTAGCCTTGATAAACCTCAAGGCAATTGACAATGAAAGTCTTAATTAACCAAATTATTTAATATACAACAAAGTGAAGCATTAACCTGTGAACATGCACAGTTCCCCGCTCGACCAAAGGCCTGTGAACAGGCTACCTATATATATGAACTTTCAAAACCAGTTTCTCTTCAGTTAAGTCTTTAGTTAAACGGAAGACGTCGCCTCAATATCTCGTGTATTTAAAGGGAAGTAATCTCGGGGATCTTTCTGAGAATCAACTTCGTCCTTCGTCTTGTCATGCCGAACCCATGGGTCTTTTGGGCACCCAGTTGTAACCCGCGGGTACTTCTTTTTGAATTCGTCACACTTTTTATGGTAATCCCAGTTGGGGTCGCTTGACCGGCCAACAAACAGATCTTCAACAAACTTTTTACCTGTCTGCTCAGGAATACCTTCAGGATAAATTGTAATTTCCTCCTCTTTGCCAATAAAACGACCTGTGATGCCTTTTTCCTTGTCCTTTTCGGCGTTGTCGTTTTGCCCACCTTCCTCTTCATTTCCTGTAAGCCAGCGCCACGCTCTCTTCCAAAGACTTATCTTAACTTGTTTCCCATCAGTCTCGTCTTTTGTCTTATCTTTCCCGCGATTTCCCTCGGTGTCATTGGAAAGAACAGATATAGCCGTCGCACTTGCTCCAGCCGAGTCACTTACAACGGGAGCTGATTTAATCACGAGTTTTGAACTGGTGGCAATAGGAGTACCTGTCCCGCTTAAAGAAGGAGCGGAGGCGGAACGTTGCGCCGAGGTACCGGCTTTATTTGGTCCGGTTTTAACGTCATCGTGCTCATTAGGATGTTCTATAAAATCACGGAAGGTCAACATCGCCGCTACTGCTTCTCGCCGATCAAGGGTGTATTGGTCTAAAGAGAATAAAATAATGAAAAAAAAAAAAAATCAATGATCATAACGTGTACATGAACCTACTTACACGACAAGGCTGCGACAATTCTCTTACTTCCTTAATCTCCCCTCCTTTTACCATTTATTTGCATAATTTTACTTCTTCGCTCCCCGCGCCTGGCTCTGAGAAAAGAACGACTCGTGACCGCTCGCGTTATGACATTACGCAAAGAGAATGGGAATAAAAATGGCCTTAATTATTAAGTGTAATAAATTGACAACTCGTGATCATCATAGTTTGCCTAACAACCAAGAAAAGTAGTTACTATTAAAAATCAGCCCTTTTGGCAATCAGTGAATCATAGGGCGCCACTTTCCGTCAACCCGGTCCAATTTAACATAGGATGTTCTACTGCTTGGTCTCTATGGGCGCTGGTGGTAGGCAAACCCACGCACGTAAGTGAAGGTCATTCGATGACGCAAGTTGGGGGGGGGGGGGCGCTTGGGAGGAGTGGCAACCAATTGTAACAGCCACTCTGACTTACGAAGTTACATTAATGCCACAAAAAAACCTTGTAATCAGTTTACAACAAGAGAGAATGAAGTAAATTTTTATATCACCTTAAAAATTCTAAACTGTACCTTCCCAAAGAATATTGTCCTTAAAGTAACACTTCTTTATAGTCATTATTACAGCGATTCCAAGTACCAAACACAAAAAGGCAATCCAGGCTGAAATATGCGACCAGGCTTTGGCTTTTGCGAATTCCTCTTCCAACTTTTCAATTTCCATATCGTCGGTAAGATTTCGTTTCTCCATGTCCTGACCAACCATGAAGCACGCGACGTACTTGCCGTCCACAAAAGATGCTATCAGCCAGACAAAAGGACCAACAAGGGACTTGCAGATGTTGGGAATAAGACGTAAACAATCAAACTTTCGCTTATAGTACGGTACACAACACCTATCGGTAACCTTCCATACGTCGCCAATTAGTAGAATGTTCATGATCAGCACTATGAAAAATGGGGCCATAAGGAACATGACGCCATAACACACGTGATTTTCCAAGGGACAATCGAAAAGTTCGGAGCTCAGTAGCTGCTGCAACCCAACCACAACAGCGGAGAAGAGAAGATTTTTTACCGTGATAGTGTTGTCGGACAGCAGGCCAAATAATCCGGGTTTGGATTTGGCGAAGTCCCTAGCCCTGGTGAGCACCTTGGTGAACAGGTCCATGGCAGTATTCTTAACTGGTTGGCGTGCAGTAATCGTCGATCAACCTGAGATAGATATTCAAAAAAACAACTGTTGAACGGAGGTGTAGACATACATTATTGCCCCCCCAGGGATTCGCCCAGAAAGCGAAATCCTGAGGAGGCACTCCGGTAACTCGCGCGTATATTAAGGAAAGTACTTACAGTTGAAATATACAGTCATACAATCAATATAGAAAAAATCTCGATTTGCTTGAATAGGGGCCGCGAGGAATCGGTAAGTAATGATGACGTTTCTATTGTTTGCGCCCGCAAGTACGAAATGGTTAGGATGACGTAAAGACAGAACATCCCCAAGGGACCGCTTAGGTATATTTTTTTAAGTAGCTTCGCAGAACGATGGACGATTACAGAAATTCGCCGACAATCAAATTCTGTGCTGACTTATTCCCTGCTCACAGATGTCCTTCCGCTATAAAGTTTAAAACAAGACTAGAATGCGCGAGTGTGAATTGATCAAACGTCCTTTTCATTTCTATGGCTTCCTTTCCGGCAAATAAAATGAACTGAATGTAAAAAGCGAAAAATTCAACTTCTAATTAAATATTTTCTTATGGTTTAGAATAAACTATTCTCGAAACTGAGAATGTTTTGATTAAAGCTGTGTAAATCGACCTGAAACTGTGCATGGAACCTTGCGTTTCCTGTATTTATCTCACCTATTGTATGGAATATGTGTGAAAATCTTCCTTATGAATCGGTATATTTCAAAGAGCTACACAACGAGCAAGAATGCTATTGACCGACAATATTCAGAGCGGGGGCAGCTGTAGTGTCAACTATTACTAGTGTTTTAAAAATAGTCACCATAAGATTTTCGCGCGAACGTTCGAAACATGCAGTGGCGCACCTTTCCAAGCCAAGCGTGTCGTTTATATTTGACCTGTTAATAGAATATTCCTAGAGAATATCCACAATACTTGAACGATAGTTTTGATTTTTTCTTCACATTTTTGTTCAAACTCCGAACAAGGTTTTTTCTCTTGGGTCGATGTTCGCCTTTTCAAGATAATCGGCGCATTGTCCCTAGGTTTATTAAATTAATTTTTTTCTCACAGCCGCCTGTTTTTTGACGTTTTAAGTATCTGTTTGGACCCTTTCATATGTTCGACAGGTAAAATACTTCACCATGACCCGTTTCGTGGACGAATGACAATGATATTTTTAATACCTTACCTTAGATAACCCAGTGCGCCCTTCGGCCCTTACCACCCCCAGTTTGAGACACCCCTTTTGATAGACACTATTAAATTTAGTTCGACGGCCACATACAAATTGAATTGAACAAAGATCCTTAAAAAAATAGCAATTGGATGATAACTCAAAGCTTACTGGTATAAATGTTTCAATGAAAACCAACTTCGTCAAAATCAACATTTAAGCTACACAAATAGCTTAAAGCTTCAGTGATCATGAAAGTCAATGCGAGCACAAAAGCAACGGAATTGTGTTAAAGATGGGTTTCATCATACCATTGAAAACAATTTTTTCGAAGTCTTGGATTTTTTCAATTCGTCAAAGTCTGGTCCAAGTCCGACAGTGCTCCCACTTCGTTTCTACCACAGGCAGCCCAAGCGCACTATGTTTGGGTTCGGGCTTCAGACGGTCATTTGGTCGGAATATACTAGAATTATTAGTGTATTATCTGATGCCAAAGAAATGAAAAAATCTTAAAGGTATGAAGTCTTCTGGTTTGTCTATCTGTACTAGTAGCCTTTAAGATAACGAAGTTCGAGATTTCTGATTTTTTAGCCACTCTGTCACACTCTGTGTCCTACGGCCGGTTTAAACGCCGTTTAGTAGACTTTCTTTCCATCGAGTACTGGACACTATAAAAGAAGACTATATAAGACCCTTCTATTCTAGTGCTCAGTACTCGATGGAAAGAAAAACGACTAAACGGCGTTTAAACCGGCCGTAGGACACAGAATGGCCATATGAACTAAAGGTAAGGGAGCTTCTTGAATCAATATTTCGAGTGATCATGATTTTTTTTCTTAGCGTTGTAGATTAGAATATATGTGACAAAGTTCGAACAATAAGGGCCCGAATTACATGTAATAATGCAAGAAATCTCGACCTTCGTTATCTTAAAGGCTACTAGTACAGATAGACAAACAAGAAGACTTCATATCTTTAAGATTTTTCCATTTCTTTTGCATCAGATAATACACTAATAATTCAAGTATATTCCGACCAAATAACCTCTGAAGCCCGAACCCAAACATAGTGTGCTTGGGCTGCCTGTGTTTCTACAGATAAGATCCACCGAATTAATCAACTGGCAAAATTATTATACTTAGCCTTGATACATGTATTACATGCAATTCGGCTTCTTACCTTAAACACTTTAGTCCTCTCGAGGACAGACAGGCTTGTTGAAGAAAAGACTCGTTTAACTCTCTTTGTTGAATTTGTAACTCACTAAATTAGTGACTTCTGCTCGTGAGTTGCCCTTTATAGCTGTTTGTGTTGATCCATACGTGACTTACCACACGTTAAACCTTGCGTGAATAGTATGCACAGCTACAGACGACAGACTCAATTGTGATGTAAATATAAATCTAGGTGTAAATTGGTCATGCTACCAAACATGATTTAATAGACAGCCATAATTTGTTCAATTCATTGTATTTAGTTAATAGTTTTCCAAAATCTCAACAGTCAACAAGCTGGATTATTCAGTTGTACTTGAATTTTGAGACTGTTGTTGAGTCATATGGTCACGCAACATTATTTCGGTTTGTCCCAAGCCAAGAGAAACCTTATTTCATCTTGTTACTGATTACGTTTTATTATGCTTTATATTAAGATATGGATCCCGGCCATTCTTCAGTACAATGTCCACCCCACTAGAAAATCGAAATCTGTTGGTGCTGCGTAATAGGGGATATAGTATTCATTCAGTTATTTTAGTAGCCGGGCCGGGAAGGCAGGTCTCACGAGATTCAGTGGCACTACCAATTGGGGCGCCAACACTGGTTAATCGCTATATGTTAGGCCGATGCAGAATTCTCTTTCGAAATTACAATTTTTTATAATGCTCGTACCTCTACTCCTTTATACTCAATAAATTGCTTTTGCTCGGGAACAGCACAGTACTTCGTACAACGAAGAGAGAGATCGCCTTTACAAATGTAATAAAGTTTCTGCTTGCTATCTCTGCTTCTATTTATACTGTCTAGGTCAATTCTGTGCGTAAGTCATAACTTAGGGCCTTTACCCATACACAAAATGTTCCTGTAGGGAGCTATGAAGAAAATATCAAAAACAAATTTCATCAACTAATAATGTTGGCGGATTTTTACAGGCATAACATCGGATTTGCCCAACTTTCTTAGTTTCAATCGGCCCGATTTCCATCCTTGCCATCCGTTGCAGCACTGGACTGCAGAAAACATTTTCAATGCCTAAATGTATGCTTAAATAACAAAAATGGACGGTTATTTTCAACATTCAGTGGGTGTGAAGACAAGTTTTATTTATTATTATTATTTTTTAATAACAGAAGGCGTGTCACAGCCCCTTTGAACTTTTCCGTCGAGCTTCTAAGAAAATTCTTATTACATGACCTTGGCTCTTGGTCCCCGACGAGAATCGAAGTCATCCTTTCTCAGAACCGATCGGATGCTCTATAGGCGTGACGTGATGCATGCATCAGTCTCTAAGCCGTGTTGTTTCCGCTAGGAAAATCTACACTGTTAACCATGGCTCCTGCTGGGAGCTTTGCTTTAAAATGTTCCCGTCTTTCCGAGAAACTATTTCAACTGAATGTATAATACGTACTCTAATATTCTCCCCCATCCGTTCAAGTTGTATTAAATTTGTTTATGGTGGAAGACTAGTAGTTTCGAATAACTTGGCACATTTGCATTTAAACGAGCTATCGCTCATATGCGATATGTGGTTAAATAAAATTACTTACTTACTTATTGTAGTTTCGAATCATCTTACAAATGAATTAATCAACTTAGAACAGGAATGAAATACCCAACTGGCAGGAGGCAACCAGTTGGTTATTAACAAGCGTGGCCAAGGATGTGAACTCGGGACGACTGAGACACAAATCCAGGTAGTGGTCAAAGCGAAGATTGCCTGGTTAGCTGCGCGGACCATCACTCAGGGTCTTTAAAAAACTGAGAAGAAATGCTACCTTTTGTAATCTTATGACTTCCGCAAACGGTTAGACTTTCTCGTCTTCTGATAAGGATGAAAAACTTCACTTATCTGTTTCTTAAGGGACGTAAAAGAAACTCACACCACTGTTCGAAAAGAGTACGGGACGTAGACCCCGGTGGTTTGGCCAACCTTTCCTGGGCTGGGTGGATTATCTTGAATTATCTGTAAGGAGAGATCTTAATATAGGTATACCCTCATCTCCTTCAGCCAAATCAGGTGTTGTGATGGCTAACTGTAAACAGTGTAGACTCAGTGTATGTATATAACATTTTTATAATGATAACTTAGTACGTTATTGGTGTGACATTGGTGCGTGGAATTTGTTTTCTTTGGTGTCCATTTTGAATTTTGCAGTCAGCTGGTGTATGCGAGGTCTGGAACAAAGACATCTTCGTAGTTGCCCGGACAAGCGATCGGATCTTTCGAGAGTATTCCCACAGTCTCAAGTCCCCATACCCCAGATTATTCTTGTTCCCAGGGCCTCGCACCAGCTGACCGAAAAACTCAAAATGGCCGCCAAAGTCTACGCATCGATAAAGTAAGTAATAATATTAATTCAAATTTATACAATCTAATCGGATGTGAACCCGGGACCGCCGGATAGCGAGTCTGACGCGCTGAGGTCACGCTGCCTCCCAGGACCACCATGTTCCTCAATTTCGCATTAATTTGGAATACTTCAGGGAAAGTGTGGGCGTACGGTAGTTGTTTAGTTGACATTTCAGTGATCTCACTCGTTTGCTACGCTCATTAATTCGATTTCTGATACGAAAATGAGTGCGT